CCCCCCCAAAAAAAAACCCCACACATGAACCTGCACAAAACAAACAAACAATACTCCCTCCGTTTCAATTTATATGACATACCTTGACTCGGCATGGATTTTAGGGGGGGGGGGGGAGGACTTTCGAAACTTGTGGTCTTTAAAGCATAAAGGGTATTGGGGGGCCATAATATTAGTGTGGCTCTAAAGCTTCTCATTAAGGGTAAACAAAGTTAAATGAGAAGTTTAAAATTAAATTATATTCAAATATAAAAATGTGTCATTCTTTTCGGGATGGAATAATAAGGAAAGTGTTATATAAATTGAAACGGAGAGAGTATATGATAATGAGTAAACTCTCACCTAAAAAATTTGTCAAGATACAAGCAGCACCCTAATTCTTTTCTCTTTTCCTTTTTGACATGGGAATAAAAATCACATAGCCTTAATTCTTTAAGCTATCAACAAAGACGAGAAAAAACAATTAATAACAACAGAGATGTGTTCACATGGATGTGATAGGCGGAAACTAACACCAATTAGTCGATCAACTATGCCTCCATCCCAAATTAACTAAGCTGGTTATATCAATCATCTATATCCACTCTGCTCTACTTGGGCCCATCACATCCAATAATAAATGATTTGTCTTTTCAGCCTGGCCACAGTGGTAATATGAATAGTCCAGTTCAAGCAGTTGCCAACTCTACCACTTGGAGAGTAGCACTGAAGAGGATTAGAATATGGTATTTGGCACATTCGCTCAAAGAATCAAGAGAAGCTGCCTTTTGACACATATGGTTAACTTTCTGGTCATAACTTTGTTGTCAAAATTGTTCATCTTTGGTTGTGAACATGGAACAGACCAAGCTTTGCAAATAGCTAGTAACATCATTAGCAAAAACATATAACTCATTCTTCTAGGATCATTTCCTCTGCTCAAACAGACAGAACGCTACCCATCTTTAATTGATATAAATGCGCTCCAAATGGACCAAACCAGGGTCATCACCATTCACCACAAGATGATGCAAGAGGTTATCTAGAACTTATTCCAAATTTCAAAATGTACTGCAAATCTTTCATCTTGTGGAACCACCTAAGCTATATCATTGTGGAATTAAATCTTCAGCAGATTAACACTCAAACTATTGAGGAAAACCAAAAACTAAAGCTTTAAACACAAGTTTGTGCGGAGAGAAGCAATCGGAATAAATATCAGCTTCTCTCTGATCTCCTAAAAGTCCGAAGACCAGCTTGACTATAAAAGCCAAAGTAGCACACCAAAATGTTTTTCCACTTTAAAAGCAACACTAAAAAAAACTAAAATATTCACATGCAGTATGTATACCCATATCCTAGAGTAACTGCAAATAAGCTTTTTAGGGTAGCAAAGTACCTCGCTCATGAACCTGAAAAGGCATACTGCTTTCTCTTGAGGCAGTATCAGTGCGCTCTGGAGCAGTAACACCTTCTGGTGGCCAAGCAGCATTAGTAGCTCTAGTTGCCAAAGGAGGAACCACTCCGGTCCTTGTTCTGGCATTGGACATAGATAGTAAATAAATCGCCAAAAAAGACCAAGTTGTTTCTTGCATAACACTAATAAAATCATGACAAGACTCTTTATTCACTCGTTTGAGAACCAGAGGTTGTAAGTGACCAACTATAAAGTCTTTACCAGAAGGTCAAAAATCAAAATGGATGAGGAAGGGAGAGGTCAAAGAACCACTTAGCTAAGGTACAAAGAAACAGCTCTTAACTTTCACCTCTAAGTTAGGACCATCAGAGTCTTTCTAACGCTAATTTACATCAAAATTTATTAAATCACAAAAGAATAGCCCCTGAAAACAACTGACTATCATCAACAACAAGAACAACAACAACTACTACTACTATGCCTTAATGCAATTCAACTATTTGAATCCTCATTATCCATTTACTTTCATTCCAATATTCAATCATTTAGGGTCCTCCACCACTAGCAGCGACCATCAACCTCTGCCATTTAAGTCAACACAACACTTATCTATGGCATCTAGCAGCACAATCAGAAATTGGTAAATGAGATCCAGGCAAAAATTGTTTTCTTGGTCCTTAGACATACCTTTTCCCCCTCGGTGGCTTATTTATTTCATTAACTAGCCGCTGTCTTGCTTGTTCTAACTCTTCCACCATTCCACCCAGGACTTCAATTACTTCAGGGACCAACATCAGAAGTCCATGCCTAACATGAACATTACAGATAGCAACCTGTAAAATGCAGCAGCAATCTATATGACTATGGAAATAGTTTTGTGACGGAAGCTATTCTTCATAAGTCTCATCTTGTAGTAGGCTTATAAAGCTACTCCACAAACAAGCTAATAAACAACATGGTATTCCTCAGATATACCTTCATCCCTGAAGGAGCCAGAACATCAAGATCTTTTATAGGCCTGTACTCCATCCCAAACACACGCTGAATGCCATCAGTCATGGACAATTTCAGACACCTCTTTATTCCAGCTACTGCTTTCTGGTACCTATCTCGAAGAGGACAACTGATATTCACAATCTCATCTACCTTGAGGGGCAAGGGGATGCAACACAGGAATAGTCAGAGTCACATTAAAGGTATAATTTATCCAAAATTACGGAAGCTTCTGGTGTCATATTAAACTATGAAGAGAGTCCTTTGCAAAATGGAAATAGTAAACCAATGATGTGGAAGAAATCAATAAGCAAATGCAATGTCATTTCATTATCCATAAACTTCAAGATTTGAACTTTATGGGTTTTGAGTTCGTGATTCTATCACAACTAATTTGATTTACTGGGTTCGAAGTCAAACTATTTATACTAAATTAATGAATTTTTTTACACATACAGAGGGTCCGAGCCAAAGATACTGGATTAAGATGAACCCACAAGTAACACTTTAATGGGCCAAAGATATTTACACAATCCGGCCACTATATTGCATGTAACTCCATTTAATAGCATTGATTGATAACTTATATTAACTTGCTATATTATGTACTTAAACTCTTTCACTATGAGTTTATATGTTTTGTGCATTTAAGGTGTAAAAAATATTTACACAATCATGTCATTTAAAAGATAGTGCAGGTAACTCCAATTAATAGCATTAATGATTAACTTATAATAAATGGTAGGTAACTTGCTATAACAGGTTAAATTATACTGATGATCTAAAAAAAAAATTCATTGCATTGATCATCAGTGTATATAACTTAAACTCTTTTCACTATTACCTGAAGTACAAAAGGCCCTTTAAGATCAACCAAATGCAACTTATGCACATCCCTAGGAAGCATCCCCACGCCACAATAGTTCATATCCGAGTATAAAAACTGCTCGAAACAAAGCTTCGCCTTCGCATTATCATCCAATCGCGTAAGCGATCCTTCAAGCCCTCTAACGCACGATTCTAACCAATCCTTCCGTAATCTTAATCCTAGCCCTTCCAATACCCTGCCAATACCACAATCCGCAGCAACAGCAACGGCGACGTCAAAAAAAACGATGTTTGGTGGTTCGTGGTGGTTAGGAGTGGGGTTTGGAGTACTGGAGGAACTTAGGGTTACGGATTGAAGGCTAGTAGAAGATTCTAGAATTTCTATTTCAATGTTGTTGTTGTTAGGGTTTTCGTTTTCTTCGCTGTTGTTGAGGAGTTGTTGAGGTTCGTCGTCTTCTTCATCGGAGGAACAGATGATTTGGTGGCGTCTTCTGCTCATCCTTTTTTTCGATTCCGACGTCTCTGAAAAAGTTTCCCTCCAATTTTTGTTTGCGTTTTCAATTGTAGCTGCTTAAAATGGGAGGAGGGAAGCAATTTGGGCTGAAGTGGCCTTTTGAGAGTTCTGGGCCGGGTTTGTTTTGGAAGGGGGGAGTTTCATAACTAAGAGCCCATTTGGCCCAGCTGTCATTAACTGCTTATTTTAAAGGGATTTGTACCTATCTATACTATATATGAAACTTATTTATTCTCCCTAATCAAGTTTTAAGTTAATTATATGGTAATATACAATTTACCAATTATATATAAATTAATTTTAAATGAGTCTCCCTTGATTGTAACCCATTAATTTAGTAAATCCCCCAATCACAGTACTTTTTTCCTCTTTCTATTTTTGCAATCAACCCTCTTTCTGCACCGATTCTACAAGATTTTTTCTTCTAAAGCTAATAATTTTCTCTAAAAATGGCGAAGAAAGGGATTAATTTTTTATCAATCTGAATTTTGCCATAGCTGGAGTTTGGATTTTTTCTGGACTTCCCCTTTTCTTGTTGGCGTTCCGATGGCAGACTAGCAGCAGATGAATATTAATTATTCGGCTCGATTGTTCGAATAAAAATATTCAATCAATAAATTTGAAGGTGGTTGACTCCCCATCATTGAAAGCCATTAAAAAGGCTTCGAAGCTTTGATTTCGAATTCGAATTTTTCAAAAATTGTTATTTGTTTGGAGTGAGTGTTATTGCAAACAGTTGGGTATATTCTATGGAGTTTATATCTCGATCTTAAGGATATTTAGTGAAGATTATATTTGCTTTGGCTGGATTTTCATATTGAAATTCGAAGAAGAAGCAGCAGAACAGACCACATACAAATACAAATCATAAAGACATATTGTATAAAATTTACATAAAAATTGTATTTAAATTATATGATGTAGTTGTTGTATTTAATTGGATAAGAATGTTATATGAAAGTTGTAGATAAGTTGTAAATAAATTGTTTACTGTATAATTAGTTGTATGAAATTTATTTTAGAATTTATGTTGTTGTAGATATATCAAATTGTATTAAATTTGTATGAAATTTATTTTTAATTTGTATTTTGTTGTACTATACATTATTCTTTTCTTAAAATAGGTAATTATGACAAAGAGAGAAAGAGTTGCGTTAATTACGGCTTAAAATAGGTAACACGCAACTAGAAGGAGTCTTATTTAGATGGAAGGACAATTTGGACTTCGTTCCCTTCAGTTACGCCATTTTTCAAGCGAATAATCCCCTAATTTAAGGCACTAGTAATGGATTGTATATAAATTATAAGAAAAACTTGTTTAGGACGGGTAATATACAAAAATTTGGATAATTTTGATAAATAAATTTCAAATATTGTATAGGAAGAAAAATATTCCTATTTTAAAAAGTATTTTTGCTCAAAAGTACTTGAATAATTAACCCAAATAATCGTTCGCTCGTTCGCTTAACTAGTAATAGCTGATGCAGGTATAATATATGCATAATGTATGTATTATATATGTATAATTGTATATAAAAAATGTATAGTCTATGTATATGGCTACAAAAAGTAAATAGTAAATATGGTCGGCTTTCATGTAAAGATCCCAAAGTACTTTTGGAGATATAAAGTTTGTGTTTAGCCAGTTGATGATAGGCTATAATTACATATTTTAGTCACTTATTACACTCTAATTTACTGCACTTTAATTGAGTTTGAGCTTTAATCGCTAGTGTTTTGCACTAAATATGTGTTTTATGCCTTGTAGGAGTGATTCCGAGCTATGTAGGTATTATGGAATGAATTCAAGTGATTTGGAGCTTTGAAGTCTGAGTAAAAGACCAAGTAATCAAGTCGGGATTGTGTTCGGGGATCAACGGATGATAGTTAAGAAAGAAACGGAGAATCGACGGGCATAAGGCGCATTGTCTAGTAAAATGCACATAAATTTTCGCTGAATTCCGTTTTGGCTCCACAATATATCATTGGAAGCTATTTGAAGGGCTACAACTTTCATGTTTTGCATTTTCGCAAATTCTCACTAAGGCGCCGCACAGTGCGGCGCAGCGTGCACCGCGCCTTTGGAAAATTCCTGCAGTCTGTCAAAATCAGCTCTCTGAACTTCCCCACAAGTACACCGCACAGTGCGGCGCAGCGTGCGGCACGCCTGTATAAATTTTACAGAGCCAGAGTCCTATTTCGCGCAGGAAAAGGTGTTTCGTCTGGGCCCAACCCTACTTGGTATAAATACATATAAAAATGCTATTTTGAGGACTTGTGACACATCTTAGACCTAGGGAGAGCATAGAGCCGCCGCGGAGGCCGGTTTTCATCTTTTCTTCTCCCAAACTTAGTATTGTTTATGTTTCTTTGTATGATTTGTTGTTTGGCTACCATGTCTATGTGGAGCTAAAACTTCACGTTCTAGGGTTGTGGTTCTTTCATGACTATTGTTATTCGAATATTTGTTGATACCCAATTTTTCCCTATAATATTTTTAAAATGCATGTATGCCTTCAAAACTATGCATTAGCATCAATTGACATTTTTCCATAATTTCTACCTTTTTAGGGATTTTTAATTAATTTATCCCAGCATTTTTATTTATATAAACAATCACTAATTGCATCATAGATAGTTTTATAATAATTTTGTGGCTTAATTTTATCGCTTGCATTTGTACTAAGTTTTAGTTATTTCACAAATAGCCGTATTTATATTTTTTGGGTTATAATTGCAATTACTTTGCAATTATAGCTCATGCGTGCATTATTACATTATTTTACCAGAAAATAGCCTTTTATATTTTTAAAATATTAAATAATTATTTTAAAATATTTCTAGTCATGAAAGTCATTTTTATAATTTATTAACTGTTTTTAAAAATTGTTTTAGCAATTAGATGGGTATTTAACAAATGACCCCTTTTATTTTCGGACCTAGCCTAAATTAAGCAGCCCAAATCCCTAACCCACTAAGACCAGGCCCAAACCAACTACCCCTAGCCCAATTAAATCCTACCCAGCCCCCAAACCCTATAAATCCTGACCGTTGATCATAGAGATCAACGACTACCATCACTTCTTACCATTTTTAACCAAACGACCCCCCCTAAACCCTAGCCATTATTCACAAATGCCCGCCCTAGAATCCCTAATCCTCTCCGTCTCTCTGAGACCTAAACCTAACCCTAGCCGCCGCCACCCAAAACCAGCCCTAATCCCTTTGATTCCTGTTCGATCCATGGATTTCCATGGCCGTTTGGGGCTCTTACTGATCTTCTACGTCTCCTGGTTGCTCGTTCTTATGATTTCCTGGAAAGAACTCGAAGAGATCTAACCAGATCTGGTTCAAGACTCTTTGAGAGCCCGTCTATGGTTGTGAGTGTATTTCGATGCTTTTACGGTTCAATTCTCCTATTTGAGACTGGATTCTCTTTACCCTTTCATTCTTTCTTCAAAATCCTCATTTCAAACACGAACCCATTCAGATCTTTGTAGATCTGGAAAGTTTCTGAGTTCGTCGTCGATTTTTCTTTAAAGAGTTTCTTGTTTCTTCACTACTAAGCGATTTTTAGCACTACGCTACTTTAGGTTTTTGATTTCTCTGATTTCTGTTATTCGAATCTCTGTATGTTTGAAGTGCTTTCTGTATCCATGGCTATTTCTTTAAAGATCTCCTAATCTTCCTGCTACTAATCAACCCTAAGTATCTTTCTAA